ATTGTGATATGGGTACTTCATTTTCCTGAGAAAATGAACGATCAATTAAAATTTTCTGTAATTATTCATTCACGGCTCTCACAGGCGGTGCCGGTTCTCCAAATGAAAGAGTTCTTAAACAGTAAAGTTCGAGATGTACTGAGTTGAACCTCGAAACAATGAGCAGCCACAGTCCGTCGCGTATTTAGGATATATACCGCTTGTCACTTGAACACTTCCCGTGAAACAAGAGAGACAAATCTCCAACCCTTCCTCGATGTTCCAGGCAATCAAGGTTGCAAGTGATGTTCACTTTTCTAATCAGACGGATGATTTTTTCTGGATGGAATCCAGCAACTTCGGGGTATGTTTGGGGGGCAGAGCTCCATACATGAAAGTAATACCCAAAAAAAGGCCTGATCTGAGCTTCATAAAGCATCAAAAGTTGCGGAGGTGTGTACAGTTTTCTGATTCGGAAAGCGGTCTGTGAGAGTGTGAAGGTCGATTTTGTTGGTCCTACGTTAACTGAACTTGTGGACTCAAATATATCCACCATATTGCGAATAGCCTTTCCGGTATGACAATTATGGCTACCGTAAAATGGGCCTAGCACGCGGTACGTTCTCCGAAAAGGACACCCATCTTGGTATAACAATTTTATCATTTGCATATTATGTTTAATGATATATCCGGCCATGGTGATTTGGCAAAACAGACTAAATAAATGACAGCTGTTCTGACAGATGACAACTTCAGCAAGATGGTTGTTATCAATTGTCAAAGTTCGGAAGTTCTTGTTAGAAGACTCTATTCTAAATGAGGGGAACAACTGAAAGAAAATTGAAAGTCATTCGAAATAATATGTCGCCTGTTGTTACTTCTTACCTCTCTTAGAGGGTAAAAAGGTAAAAAGTACCCATTAAAACAATCCTTTTCGAGAATGAAATTGACATGTCTTCCCTATTTTCCTTATTATCACCCTGTCCAAAAAAAGGCCTGATCTGAGCTTCATAAAGCATCAAAAGTTGCGGAGGTGTGTACAGTTTTCTGATTCGGAAAGCGGTCTGTGAGAGTGTGAAAGTCGATTTTGTTGGTCGATCGTTAACTGAACTGACAGATGACAGCTTCAGCAAGATGGTTGTTATCAACCATCTCTATACTAAATAAGGGCAACAACTGAAAGAAAATTGAAAGTCATTCGAAATAATATGTCGCCTGTTGTCACTTCTTACCTCTCTCAAAGGGTAAAAAGGTAAAAAGTATCCATTAAAACAATCCTTTTCGAGAATAAAATTGACATGTCTTCCCGATTTTCCTTATTATCACCCTGCATACTTTTGTTTGTCGATGGTTGACTATGTTTCATGGTGAATTTCATTAGTTTGGACTTTCATTGTCTAATATGATAGAAAATGATTTGAAATTCCTGAAAGAATCAATAAAATTGGAAATAACAATTATATTAGGCAAAAAAAACCTGAACTGGAATTACAATGCAATAACTGGCCCAGTCATCACCCGAAGACGATTGTGGATACCTACAATCGAAACGTCGTGAAGTAACTTGGTTTAAAATCTATTAATTTTATTTTTTTTGGGTATTGTTCAATTTTCAATTGTTTCATGTATTTTATTCTATTGTAATTTCAGGTAAGGTTTTTTTTGCTCAATATAATTGTTATTTTCAGCTATTCTTTTTAATTTTATCGATTCTTTCAGGCATTTCAAATCATTTTATATCATATTAGACAATGGGAGTCCGAACTGATGAATTTCACCCTGTATACTAATGTACACGTTATTTTCGCGTCGTATGCCGTGAAATACATCAACCGCAGCATTGACAGCTGTGAATCTTTGGTCAACTCCAGATCTATATATCTTATTTATAGAATCCTGCGGTTGAGCTGTCGAAACATAAATCACCATCAGTCAGGATTCATGATAACAAACGATATACGTCAACTTGATCTTGTAAGAATTTTAGTCTTTGACAAAATGCATCACAATTACTGACAGGTATTGAAGAAAATCCTCATAAACACATGACAAATAGTAGAAACTTAGTGACTGTTGGTGAATTTTTTGCCATTAGAAGGAAATCGATGTTGTTGTGAATATATACAGTGTATCACATCTAGCTTCCAATTTCTTTTTTAAGGCCCTCTGAGAGCAGGGCCTGTGCGAAAGTAGTGACTCACATTGGATTTGAATCGCTGGAGAGTCCAAGCTTTTGAGAAGCAGCCTTTGCAATTCCAGCGATATGATTGTACCAAGCCATATTGGTGTCCAGTTTAACCCCAACAAACTTATCGAAGCAGAAAGCGGAATTGTCTAACCTGACATTATTATATCCGGTTAGGAGACATTTATCTTTTTGGAGAAAACCGATGCATAGGTGTGTAGCATTGAATTGAACCTGATTAGTTTCACCCCAATTCGAAATCACTTCTAGATCCTCATTAAGATATCCAACTTCCTGCTGCCGGTAAAGATGTGCATCCGCAGCTGATGTCCTGGAATCCAAATAGAATGACGAGACTAGTGTGCTGTCGTCAACAAAGCAATATACTGTATACTTGGTTTTTTCCATTAAGTCGTTGATATACAATAAAAAGAGGTTTGGAGGCAATATGGATCCCTGTGGAATACCAGAGTTGATGATAAAAGTATTCGAGAAGATATCCATCGACGGCCACTTTCAGGAAACGGTCTTTCAGGAAACTGAAGACCCACACACAAAAATGATCCGGCAAACCGTAGATGAAGCTTGCAGCACCCTCCTTTGCAAGGGAGTCAGCAGCCTCATTGCCTTCCAGGCCAGTATGGCCAGGAATCCAGACCAGAGAAAATATGTTAAGTCTTTCTATCGAGGAGAGGCAAGTTGCTACCGAAGCGACTGAAAACACCTGCACCAGAACCCAAAGTTGTTTTAGATCCATCTGTGAACCAACAACTATCAGCTCTTGACATTTCCTTCTCCCGGAGGCGAAGGGTTATAAGGGATCTTATGAGTATCTGAGGAAAGTGATGAAAGAAATTGGGTGGAGGAAAATAAGTAAAAAAATAGAAATCATGGATACTATAGGTAGTACTCAGATTACCTCCTTATCATCCAGATTTGAACCCAATAAAATTAGCATGGGCATCACTGAAACAATATATGGCTGATAGAAATGTGGAGTTCAATTTTAAATCCGTTGAAAGTTTATATAACGAATTCTTCAATTCGTTTTCTCAAGAGTAATGGAAAAAACGTTGCGATCACGCTAAACGTTTCAAAGAACTTTATGTTGCGAAGGAACTTGCTCTTGGTTCCGCAATAGAGTTCAAGGTGATAGTGACAACGATAGTACCAGTGAGCGATTCCGATCTGCCTGGAGTTGAACTTTTGTAATTTTTTTATCATAATTTTAATTATATTTTTCTTGGATTCATTCAGACTCCTGAAAAACAAACTCATTTAAATTCGTTTACGTAAATACCGCATTATCATACTAAAATAATAATTGACCACCAATTTGAAAAACCATCAACCCTTATTGCTCTTTGCGATGAGGACTGTACTCTCAGGCCACTCTTAAACCCAAATAGGCGCACGAAGTCGCACGATAGATTTCATCTTTTTCTATTCTATCTGTCAGTAGTCTACGCAGGTGGGGATATGTTACAAGTCGCTTCCTAGTTTTGACGAGCTATACAACTAGATCATACTGATCCACTGATTATTTTCAAAATGAAAAATTTACCTTTTTTTGAGACACATGATTATGAGTAATCCTCTTTCCTAAATTTGGTGAAGTTTACATGTCTAAAAAAAATTGAGATAACAATTATAGCGAGAAATAAAATAGTACTTTTCAATTCGGTCTCATATTGTACCTCCACGATATAAGTTATCTACCTACTCTGTTTATAATACTTATCAACGAAAAAGTAAATTAGTAGTGACTCCATTTTTTCAGATTGAATTTCCAGGAGTAAGGGAGTACACATTTCATAAACTGCTCTGTTTTCTGTACATCGACGAAATCCCAGCGGTGTCTGCTATTCGCTGTATCAATTTGTTAGAACTGGCGAATAGGCTGTGTTTGCCAAGACTTGTCAATTTAGTGGAGAGACGGGTTATTGAAGATTTGGAACGTCTGCAACCTTCTGAATCTATAGAGCACTGCTTGAGATTGCTAGAACCTGTTAAGGTATGTCTTTTTATTATTTTATTGAGTTGAAACACAACCATTTCTCAATCGAGAATAACGAAAGTAGTTATATAAACGACTAATTCGAAACCTGTAATGTCAAAAGCATTATTAGTACATTCAAAATGAATGAAAAACGTTTCACTCGTGAAATTATGTTTCATATTAACGTAAAAAACAGTACTGACACTAATTTATTATACCGTCTGACAACGAAATCATTGTACTCAGCGACATACCTCTTGTGAGTGACGCTGTTCCACCCCATGGTAAGTATAGATCTCTTCAGCTACCAGATGGTATAGGTTGCTTTCATCTACGAGCTGTACATCCATTTCGTAATTCTCCTCTTTTGTTTATCCCGGAATTCATACCGATAGCATGGTGTACTCTTCCATCAGCCTTAAGGACTGATGGAGATCATTTTCTCCAGAGGCATTAATGTTTAGGAACATATGAAACATACCTCTTGTTGGTGGCACTGTTCCACCCCGTGGTGAGTATAGGTCTCTCAAGCTTCTAGATGGTGTAGGATGCTTCCATCTAGGAGCTGTACATCCTTTCAGTAATCCCCCACATCCTCCTCTTTTGTTTATCCCGAAATTCGTACCGATGGGATGGTGTACTCTTTCATCAGCATCAAGGACTGAAGGAGATCCTTTTCTCTAGAGGCACAAAGTGAGGTCAAAGGCCTCAGCTGTTAGGTGGCTATCCCTGCTTATTTATTATTATTGTTATTTAACTGAAGGTAGAGCTGGTCGGACCCTGTCCTCGAAGCCCCGACACATTCGGGAGGGCATGACAGCACCATCAACCAATGACACCCACCACGCCGTGTGGTAAGTGATCATTGGGATTGAGAGTCATGTGTCTTCAGCAGACGCAATGAGCCAAGAATGACAGCCTTTTGCATTTGTCTGGCTAAGATTTCTGCCTTAGTGCAGCAAGCCGGCATGATTTTGAGATTCTTCGTCTTTCTCTGATGGTCGAGGAGAACTACATCTGGCTCATCATTATTATTATTATTCCAAAACATGAGTTTGCGCTGGTCAGGTCCTATTCCACGAATCCCCGATATATTCGGAAAGACGCGCCAGCATTATCAACCAACGAACACTCCCCACATCGTGGATTAAATGATTTTTATGTCCAAGAATCATATGCCCTGAGTCAAGAATGAGCCTTCTGCATTTCCCCTGCAAGATTTCTACCTTGGTGCAGCAAGCCAGCATAATTTTGAAATTCGAGAGAAGAGAGGACATCATTTTACCAAGTACTCCAATTATCAGAACAACCATGACAGAGTGATCTGGATAGAGTCTGCGGAGTTCGAAGAGAAAATATCGAAAAAATTCGGCACTTCTCGTTCTCTACAACGAATTCAATATCCCCGGAGCGTGGGGCAACACCAGTGTCTCGTCAATCCCTAGGTGGTAAAAATTCACTCGTAGGGACGCGTTATGTCGCTGGATAGAGTCTGCGGAGTTCGAAGAGAAAATCTCGATATTTTATCCGTTTTTTCGCCTCTTTTCGGACGATATTCGTCTCACAAGGAGCTGAAAACTCCACGACAGATATCGTCTTGCTCTGGTGGTCGAGAAATACTACATCAGGCTTATTAGCTTGTATGAGCCTAAGGGTGGGGAACGAATAGTTCCAGTAAATTCGGCACTTCTCCTTTCCCACAACAGATTCAATATCCCCCTGAGCGTAGGGAAACACCGGTGTCTCGACAATACCGTAAGAGTGCCGTAGATGGTAATATAGCACTCTTAGGGCCGCGTTATGTCGATGGATACAGGCCGAGACCGCATATGCTGGCATTAGGGTCTCGGGCGCCTCACGGCAGGCCCTGCACATTGTGTCGGGAACATCTATACCCATCACGCGACTGCGGTAGACTAAGGTGTTGAAGACACCATCCTGGCAAGCCATGATGATCTTATTAGTTTCCAACTTCAGCCCAATCGATCTGAGGAAAGCGAAAGTCAGGCGCTTTGATAAGCCAAGGTCTTCAATGTTATTGGAGAAGACCCATGCATTGGCTTATCCTTGTGTTTCCGTAGAAGTGAGGTGATCTCTGCGGCTTTTGTATGAGCCTTTTTGCTGAACGGGTTCCAACTCTGTGACAGAGTTGTGGTAACCTCGTTCAATTTCGAAAACTATACCGAGTTCATCAGCTACCCGGGCAGCTGCCCGAAAGAGAAATGCTCCAATTCCTACTCTCTCACGTCACGGATCATGCAGAGAAGGGGATCCGAACTCCTGACGACAGGCTATATCCAGTACCATTATGTCATGTAGACACTCCAAACTCAAAAGTCCACGGCCTCCCTGTTGTCGGGGGAAGTACAACCTTGGAACTGATAGAGATGCATCATTTTTCGGGTCTTTACGTCGAGTTGATACAACTCCTCCCGAGTCCACTCCACTACTCCAAACGAGTAGGGTAAGACTAAAACGGCAAGCAAATTTGTTGCAGCAAATTTGTTCTTCCCCGACAGTTCCGATGTCCAGATCTATCGTTTGTGCTGATACTTGTCGCGGAGAGAGTTCTTCACTGCAGTTACCTCTTGTGAGTGGCGCTGTTCCACCCCGAGGTAAGTATACGTCTCTCCGGCATCCAAATGGTATAGGATGCTTTCATATACGANGTCAAAGGCTGTAGAAAATGATGGTGGTTCAAAACCATTAGTCTTACATTCTATCATTCATCAACAGTCCTTGTGCGGAAAATGTTTGGATATGTCTGAAGTTCTAAAACCAGTCGTATCAGTTGTTAACTTAATCAGATCCACTGGGCTGAATCACTGACAATTCCGCGAATTTATTCAACAGATTGGAGAAAATGATTCACCATATATCATACTGCCGTACGCTGGCTTAGTTGCGGAAAAGTCCTTAAATGCTTTTTTGAACTTCGAACAGAGATCGAAATTTTTTTAAATGAGAAGCAGCGCCCTTTTGCCGATTTAGAAAATTGTGAATGGATGTGGAAGTTAGTCTTCTATGTCGATTTGACAAATCATATGAACGAACTGAATTTGAGATTGCAAGGATAAAATCAGCTTCTCCCTGATTTATACACCAATATCAAATCCTTCAGGCAGAAAATAATACTATTTCAATCGCAATTACGTAAAAAATGTTTCACACATTTTGAAACATGTGAAATATTCAGCCACACTACAGTTTGGAGACCCCTGATCTAGGCCATAGAGAGGTTACGCTTATACTGTATCGAGTCCTGCGTTACACATCTATCGATGAGCAGGTTCTCTTTACATCCAGCGACTCCTCTCTTCGACCCTCTCTGCTCATATATCCGTTCGAACACTCGGTCAACTGCGGTGAGTATTCGTGTGTATAAGATGCTTGCAAACAACTTTAAGACGAATTGAAGCATGTTATCGGTCTGCAATTCTTAGGAATCGACAAATCTCTGCTTTTGGGGATGAGAACGGTCCGTCCGTCGACAAATCAATCCAGAATCGGCTGCTCTCCGTCCAGCCATGAGTTGAAAACTTTGGCCAGATGGCGGTGGGTGTTTGGTAGTTTTTTCCACCAGTAAGTGTTCAGCCCATCTGGGCCTGGAGCAGCTTTTTTTTATTTGGTTTCCAGGATTGCCGTGGTCAAACGTTTCAGCTGCAACTGCGGTAGTCATCAACTGACGTATCAGTTTCAGTTGACCACGGCACTGAAGATGACTACCGCCGTTCCAGTTGAAACGTTTGGCGATTGTAACCAAAGACCACGGAAAAATCCGGAAACCACCAAAACATTGATGCCAGCCGTGAGATCCCACATTCCTATAATAGATAATAGAAGATTACATATGCAGAATAATTTTTCAAGAAAATCATCTGTTCAATATTTTATGGAAATTGACGTTTCGCCATCTTCTCAGCTGATACTCTCAAGATGTCATACTTTTTTTAATGGAAGGTTATGATAACTAATTACCATTTCTATTCCACTAAGTAATCTTAAATAAAATGATTTTCAAACAAGTAATCTGATAACAAAAACGAATGGGAGAAGAAAAATTCATGAAGAGAATATTGAATACATGAAACCCAGATGAAAACTGGGTTACATGGAAAGGGATAGATTTTAATGGAAAACTCAATATCCGACTCCAGTGCCTGATAGGTTGATAATGAAGTTGAAGGGAGAGGAAAAGGGGATTTTTTTTTATTTGGCGGAACACATAAAATGTTGATGAATTCTGTATTTGGGAGAGCAATATCTATTTCTTCAAATAATGAGTTCCTCATGTTCATCAGTAGGTAATTTGAGAATAAAAATAGTCCCCTCATAAAAATAACACCCAAACCAATATTATAATTGGTCAATAGAAACTTCTCGCGATTTTCTATAGTTCAAATGACATATATTAGTAGAAATTCTGCAGTTTCTGATTGCGCTGAAAAAGAATATGAGAAAGTTTTACTATTGCAGGAAAATTACACAGGTTTGGTATAGGAAAGCAATCGTTATTGATTTTGTAATAAACGCTTATAACCGTTCACTTTATATACAATATAAAACCCATTAGAAAATGATTTATGCCCAGTAATTGTGATTACTGATATCACATTGGTATATTGCTATACAGTGAATTTCCTTGTAATTCAGTGGGAGAAGTAATTGATGGGAAGGGTAGAATGAATAATCAATTATGTGTCATAGGAAAGAACATTGATTCTAATTGACAACGATCTCTTCTAAGAACAATGATTGAAGGTTTTTAGAAAAGTCTGTGATTTGAAATGTGATTCAATTGTAATGAAAGTGAAAGTAAAACAACAATAGCTTCTTCGGTAATATTAGTTACTACTTCTTCTTTAATTAGCTCTACCTTCATATCAAATTTTGGAAATTTATTTTTACGCCTGATGCTTTGTTTCAATTTTCCCCAAACCAACTCGATGGGATTGAAAACACAAAATTGGTTTTTGGTATAGTAATCTTCAAAATACAAATTGTTTACTTTGATG